ACCTAATATACCCTAGATTCATAAGAAAGAACCATTCATGTGATACTTTAGTAACAATGTCATGAATTATTTCACAAATCAAAAACCCTAGACCCTATGTTTTATGCAGGTTTAAACGACAATCTAACCACTACCATAGTTCTAGCAAAAAGATCAGATGCGCGGGGAGCAAGGAAGAACCAACAAAGTGGGACTAGGACAACTAGGACAATAGTATAATCTTCAAGGAAAGTTCTATCATTCACTCATTCAAGTGAAATTCAATATGTCGCAATCCCTGGCATCCTGTAAGCTCGCTGGCATGCCCTGCCATGCTGCCCATGGCTTGCGTCAACACCATGCATGGTCCTACATCAGCTTTACGCAAGGGTCTAGTGAAATTCGCGCCCCCTCCAAGGCGCTTCATTGTGGGTTCTGGGCGTCCGTTGCTACCACAGACTCGACAACCTCATCTGAAGTGGTGCTGCAGTCCGATCTGGCTGTTCAATTTGCACTGCTGCAGTCCGATCTGGCTGTTCAGTTTGCACTGTTGCAAGGCTGCCTGGTGCGGGTTGGGAGATTTTTGGAGCGGGCGGAGGTTGCTCTGAGTAGACTCTCCCCTGTGCCGGCTATGCTGCAGACTGCTCTGACGTCACGTCCTCCTATTGCAGGTGGTGTTTGCTCCGAGAAGGACACTGAGGCAAAGTTATATGGTTGTTTCTCCCCCCGTGTTGAGGACATTTCGTCGTTGATGTCTGCCTCACCCATTGTGTTATCTACCACTCAGGACGAGTCCATCGCCATTCTCGTGGCGCGGTGCTACAAAGCATGCCCGAGATTAGGGAGCCATGTCTGAGCTCCGCTTCGCTTTTGTTAGTGAAGCACATGAAGGTGGAATCACTAGTGACCTCGTGCGAGGGAGATGATTCATGTCTGTCATGTGAGCATCCAAAGGCGTCTTCAGAGTCCTTCAGGTCGGAGATGCATGTGGTTGAGGATATATATGTGGCCGGTGTGTTCGCCAATGGGAAGGCGTCTGCGGTTTCATGATGGATGATGCTCAGTTTCTTGTGTTGTCGATGTGGTTTCGATTGTCTGAGTCATGATTGTAGTTGTTCTTGTCAGGGTTCTGTTGTATTTTGTAAGTGTGGTAATGTATGATTGTTGTGTGTTAGGAGCATGTGACGGGTCGCCAGTGTGGTCACGGTGTTTCGTGCTTCGTGAGTAGCCCGTTTTTAGGTTGTTTGTCTCGATTTTCGCCAGATTTTCCGAAAATTAACTGGGCAATTCTCTTCTTCTTAACTAATCAATGATGCAAATATTTTGCCTCCATTTAAAAAAAATCAGTATGTCATGATCTGGTACATACATTTTCTACATATTGTTCTTTTAGCGATGTGAATGAAAGATGTGTAGTCGCCTGCCTCTAGCCAGTGTTCTGATGTCATAATGTTCATTTCAATTAGAATGAGAAAATTAATACGATGAATAGGTATCCCATGCATTAGGTTAAATCCATGGTTTTATTGTACCGCATCATCCCCGCTGCTTTCTATCACCAATTGACCTTTCTACTACTCCCTCTGTCCGGAAATACTTGTCATCAAAATGAATAAAAGGGGTATATCTAGATGTATTTTAGTTCTAGATACATCTTTTTTTGTCCATTTTGATGACAAGTATTTTCGGACGGAGGGAATACCACAGATGACACAAGCACACAACTTACATTTTCAGTTACTCGCATTTTTTTGCCTGTGTGTACGGGTCAACCATGTACGTGTTGTCTACATAAGGAAGAAAAAGAAAACTCTTGGTGCTCGATGACAGGGGCAATGATCGTTCCATTAGTCAGTTTTATTAATCTTCCTCAAGAGGTCAATGAGATTTTATGTGAACAAAAAGAAACAAAAAAAACTGGTCCGCTCAGCCCAATAAATTCTTCTGGAGAAAACTCTGCTACTCGCAATGATAGGGGCAATAATTGTTCCCTTCGCTTTAATTTTCATGAAATGGTAACTAATGCCATTTGCGATGGTTGATAGGACAGTTTTATCTTAATCATGCCGTGTAATTTGATATGTAATAAAACTATATTCAATGGATTATCTCTTAGTTTATATCTACTGATTAAGGGAGTACCTAGAACTCATCTAGAGGAGATATAATTTGGTCTCATTCACTTTGAAAACAAGAATAAATACAACCCACGTCAGCACACACACATCTTATAACATCACATCCAATGAATATAAAAGGTGAATGAAACCAAATTATATCTTATCTAGATGAGTTCTAGCAAAACTGCTAAATATATGCTGAGAAATATATCGTGCTAAGAGAAGAGAAGCGTTTTTTTTTTCCTTTAACCTCCATGCCAGTGTTTGTGGTACATGGCACACCCAAGAGAGCATCTGTATATACACGCCAAGATATTATGTGAAAGAAGAAAGAAGAGAAACTAAATCTATGTTGAAAAAAAAAGAAATTCTCGAAAGCAAGGAAAAGTCTTCTGTTTCCGTTACACCGAAAATTCGGCGCGGATGCATCAGAGACGCGGTTGAACCGTAGGGTTCCAACCAAACCGCCTGGTCGATGGCGCTTCCACACATAGTGCGTGCATGCACGTAGCTTGCTCTGACACTCCTGCCACGTCACTTCACTCGCGAGACCAAACTAACTAAAGTGACCACCTGGTTGGTTGCTTGGTTAGTTACTGGAGCTCATAATCAGTGCTCTATGTCGACTATATATACCACAAACAACTGCAAACGTTCCCAGCTCATCCTCTGCTCCCGCTCTGCTTGCTTCACTACAAACGAGGCACAAAAACGTGAAACAGATCGTCTGTCGGCCATGGTGGCCATCACGGTGCCCATCTCGGTGGACGCGATCCCTCTTGTGAAATGCGCGCATGCGGCGGCGGCGGCGGTGCCGAGCGTCGACCTGTCGGCGCCGGGCGCTGCGGCGGCCGTCGCGGACGCATGCCGCGGCGTGGGCTTCTTCAAGGCGACCAACCACGGCGTGCCGGCCGCCCTCACGGACGCGCTGGAGGCCCGCGCCGCGGCCTTCTTCGCGCTGCCACACAAGGACAAGCTGGAGGCGTCGGCGCGGCCCTTGGGCTACGGCAGCAAGAGCATCGGCTGCAACGGCGACGTGGGCTGGCTCGAGTACATCCTGCTCTCCGTCGGGTCCGGCTCCGTCGCCGCCGCCTCCCTGCCGCCGTCGCTCCGGGCGGCGCTCGAGGAGTACACGGACGCGGTGCGCGAGGTGGGAGCGCGGGTGCTGGAGCTCATGGCGGATGGGCTCGGCATCGCGGAGGAGCGCCGCGGCGTGCTGCGACGGATGGTGGTGGCGCCGGCGGGAGACAAGGGCGGGGCAGACGAGCTGGTGCGCGTGAACCATTACCCGCCGTGCCCCTGCCCCCTGGCGGCGGGGCAGCGCGGCGTGACGGGGTTCGGGGAGCACACGGACCCGCAGATCATCTCCGTGCTCCGGTCCAACCGCACCGGGGGCCTCCAGATCATGCTCCCGGAAGGCCGCTGGGTCCCCGTGGCCCCCGACCCCGATTCCCTCTTCATCAATGTCGGGGACTCCCTCCAGGTAGGCACCACGCCATTGCCATTCACCCCCTTGTCACTTGTTACCTTTGCCGCCTACCCCATTCGTCTACCTGGGATCCATGGACGCGCACGCATGCATGTTCTGGCCTGGTTTGGCATGGCGCATTATTCAGCTGGCGTCTGTGCGTGTCCCCCGACCCACCCTCCGTTCCTGTCAAGGACGTACCGCGCAAAAGCGTGCAAGTGGCGCGCGATAACTCACTCATTGCCGCGCGACCCCGCGTAGCCTGCGTGTGCCCTACCATCTGCACACATGTACGTTAGACTGTTTTTACACGCATGCGTTCTGACGTGATGCGTTTTGGGAAGCAGGTGCTGACGAACGGGCGGTTCCGGAGCGTGAAGCACCGGGTGGTTGCGCCGGCGGAGGGGCAGCAGTCGCGGCTGTCGGTGATCTACTTCGGCGGGCCGGCGCCGACGCAGCGGATCGCGCCGCTGCCGGAGCTGATGCGGGAAGGGGAGCAGAGCCTGTACAGGGAGTTCACCTGGGCCGAGTACAAGAAGGCCGCCTACAAGTCCCGCCTCGGCGACCACCGCCTCGGCCCCTTCGAGCTCCCCGCCGCCGTCACCCAAGAGGCAACCAAGGCCGACCATCACTGCAGCAGCAACGCAGTTCAGCCGCCGGCGCCGGCGCCCCCTCACGTGGCACGAGTGCACTAGCTTAGCTTGGCTCCCCGTACGTACTCCTAGTAGTAGTGATTTTCTTTTCTTCTTGTTTAATTAATGTAAATCTATCCGCCCAGACATAGTAGTAGTACGTGGTAACTAAAAATGGTGGTAATATCACTCTTGGGCAGCCCAAACTGGCATGGCACCGAACTGTCACACCCGCCGAGAAAGAAAGGCGGCCTTTGTAACTTCCACGTAGATATGCAGACACACCCTTTTGTTTGTTGCTCAGTTTTCACCGGCAGGCAACGGTTCGCCGCATGCTTCTGCCCGGCGTACCGTGAATAGATCAAAAATGCTAGACGTACAGGCTTTTACAGGTTTTTGCAGGCTCCTTCTAAACTTTCTAAACACATCCCCTGATTTCAATGAGGGTGGGCCCGTAACTCTACTAATGACTAATTAAAAACCACCACGACACCCTGTAAACCACTCATGCCTGTAACATCCTGTATGTGTAGCAAATGACTAGATTGGCAGGCACCACAGTTAGTTAGCATGTCCGTACGCCATCTACCTACCTGGACACTGCGGGTCACGTACTCGTCACTGCTCAGCGGAGTAATGCTACACGTACAAACGAGTTAAAAGGTTTTACAAAAAGAATTAATTTGATTGGTCAATAGATGGGAAGCCGGCCCGATAAGTGGAGTGTGTATTGTTTCATTAACCGGGCCTCTAGGTCTGAGGACACGTGCGCCCACGAATGGTGATTGATCACCTCTCAAAGGTCCACGTCCATAAATCTTGGTGCGTCCTGGTGCAATTTATTTTAGGATTTTTGGCGAGGCGATGCGCGTTATGTGGAAAGAGCTGTTCTCATCGACTACGAGACGTCTATGGTCACTTCATCAATCTCAAGATGATATGCCGGTTCCGTCTCTCGAAGGTACTCATACGGGTAGGGTTCGCGTATGTGTCATATAGATGAGTGTATGCGCGTATATATGAGCAACTCCGTCTGTAATGTGTTCCAAAAAAAGTCCACCTTCACAACTGTCTATCTCAAATTAAATCCTCAAATTCATACTTATCTCATGGAATGTTAAACTTACACACATAATTGAACACACACATGTCATCGGACTATCAAACTCAAATGAAATAATAATGGAAAAAGTTCATCCACGGTCACCTTGCCCTTGCCTCGTCGTCTTCGTTGTGGAACTAGCGGTCATTGGTCAAAGGCGCAAAAGGATGCAGATGGATCTGCTCACTGCCGGAGCTGTCCGATCCATCGCCCTCCTTCTCCTTCTCCTCTTTGGCCACGCGCCCTCCCACGGACCGCACGACTTTTCTCCCTTGCGAGGGCGCGCGCCGTCCTCCTTTGCTGGTCCTTGATGACACGGGCACGGATGACTTGCTCGTTGTTGTCCAAGGCGCGTGCGGCTCCGCCTCCATGGTCTCAGCCCCCAGGCCACCGCAGCTTGTCGCGTCTTCTGCCTCACATGGAGGAACGTCGCTCCTCCTGGCCAGTTGGGCTGTCACGCATGCCGGCATTAACCTCTAGCTTGGAGCCTGACATCACGTAGAAGAGGCGCCATCAAAGGGGTTGGGCTGCCACCCCAGGGTTGCGCTACTAGCCGATTGTCACCGCATTATGCGAGGACGCAGTCACGCGCCGCGAGCATAATCCCTGGGTATCCAAGCGTTATTTGGCACAAACCCAATGGATTACCAAAGGGTCAACTCGGACAACATTTGGGTGCACTACTCCTAGGAGAGGCGGAGAGCCAGGTGGACGGCCATCTCCTCCTCGTCTCGCATGGTACAAGGTTCCAATCCATGGACCGGTAGATCTCACATTCGAATCCGATTCGCCATGCTGGGGAAGGCTAGAGATTGCCGGGCAGGAGCTTAAGGGATGAGTGCAGTGGAGTGGAATGACTACTACTTGGTCTGAAATGCGTGCTGAAATTTGGGATGGGCTTTAGGCCCATATAGCAATTTCTGAAAATCTCTAAGGGCCCATGTGGGTTTATTGACACTAGGTGTAGTGGGAAGTTTAGTCCCACCCCGGAAGTGAAAGAGGAGTTGGACCTCCTTATAAGGGTTTCTCTTCTACATGCTATTGGAGCTTGAGAAGAGAAGAGGCCCTCGCGCACTCCTCCTCTGCTGCCCGCCTTGCCACGCCTCACCTCGCCTCGCCTCGACGCGCCACGGGTTGCGGGAATGAGCCAAGCCGAGCTCACACCTACGCGCTTATTTTTGCCAGTCACTAACAAAGAGATTCTGACAGCGTGCCGTCCTCCTTTGCCGGTCCTCGATGACGCGGGCACGGATGGTTTCCTTGTTGTTGTCCAAGGTGCGTGCGGCTCCGCCTCCACGGTCTCGGGCCCCAGGGCCGTCGCGGTTGTCGCACCTTGTGCCTCACACGGCGGACACGTCGCTCCTCCTGGCCAGTTGGGTTATCATGCATGCCAGCGTTGACCTCCAGCTTGGACCCCGACATCACGTAGACGAGGCGCCATGGAAGGAGTTGGCCTGCCAACCCAGGGTTGCGCCGCTAGCCGATTGCCACTGCATTAGGCGAGGACGCAGTCACACACCGTGAGCATCATCCCTGGGGATCCACACGTTATTTGGCACAAACCCAATGGATTCCTGACGGATCAACTCATACAACAATCGGGCACACTCCTCCCGAGAGAGGTGGAGAGCCAGGTGGACGGCCATCTCCTCCTCGTCTCGCATGGGATGAGGTCCCGTTCCATGGATCGGGAGATCTCGGAGTCGAATCCGATACTCACCATGTCGGGGAAGACTGGAGATTGCCGATCAGGAGCATAGGGGAGGAGTGCCGTGGAGTTGAATGACTGCTACTTGATCTGAAATGCGGATAGGGGCGAATATATGTGGGGTTCGGGCTAGGCCATACTGGGTCAGATCCAACGTGGTAGATGCATCCGGGCATCCTCATATCAACCCTTATATGGTTTGAGTATGAGGGTTGTTGGTGAACTTAGATGGAACGGCCGGTTGGGTTTTTGGCTCATACAGACCGCCCCCGCGTTTGGGGCGTATATGAGGTGTCTAGCTATAGATGCTCTTAGGCCCACAAACCTACCATGTGGTGTTATATAGAAATGAGATATGCCGGTAATTTTCAGAACAAAAGATACTCGTCTGATCCAGAGAAACGTCAAGATGTTTTTATCATACCCATGCGATCTAGAGAATCGGTATTGAACATTTCTCGCGTCAACTTGTTTTATCTTCTAAAGAAGTACTCCTCCATCCGAAAAAATTTGTCCCTCAAATGGATATATCTAGCACTAACTTTGTGCTAGATACATTCATTTAAGAGACAAGCTCTTTCGAACGGAGGGAGCAGTTGACAAAGCAATGGTAATAAGGGAGGGGACCTCGTTGAAGCTATCTGCAATGCAAGAGTAGCGAGGCGGGCCAAAACTTTCGAAGAAGGGTTAAATTGTACTGATCTTTCCCCCGCAAAAAAAAGCACCGATCTTTAACCAAAAGGTCAAAACAGTGATTTTGGTCGTGAGCCAGCGGACTCGCTAAGGTGGTTAGAGTTACGGAGCGGAGATTCCAGCGCCACATGACATGAGCAACTCAAACATCTTCAATGCAAAAAAGAAAAAAAATCAGATTCTTTTGAGTTTTCCTAGTATTTTTGTTTTCTAATATTACTATTTATGTGCAGGAGCAGATGAGTTCGGGAGCCTTTTTGCCGTTCCGAAGAAATCATGAGACTCCTTTAATCGAGCCTTTTCTAGTTGGACCCGGCATTTTTTTTGAAACGAGGCAAAAGATTTGCCATTTTCATTGAATAAAGAGAAGAGAGAGTTTTAAAGACATGCCCGCCCCGTGAAAACGGGGGAAATTACAAAGATCTACTCTCACAACATCAAATTACATAAATGTTTAGTGCCCGCCAGAGCCCATAGAGAAGCCTCCTCTTTAATAGAGCGCATGATCACCATCACCGGCGCCGCCTTGTTCCTGAACACGCGTGCATTTCGCTCATTCCAAACCACCCAGCTTACAAGATGAAGAAGGGAGGCGCGGGCTTTCGTTGGCAACGCATTGTTGGTGAGGACAATTTCGATCCCGGACTTCAGGTGATGGATCAAATTACTCAACGCACGATGCCAATGACTAGCAAGCACAGCCTTCAACCACCTGTTGTCAGTTGGAAATGTAACAGCCGCCGTTCAATACGATTATGTAAAGCAGCTAGTCAGCAACCCCATCGATATGCTCATATGCAGGGAGTAGTTGATTAAGTTATCGGCGACCACCGTCATTTGGCAGCCGACCGTACCGACGACAGTCTCAGTTAATGACGGAGGTCCACCGGATAAGGACGTGATCGAATCCGTTGTCCTAGTGGCAGGAGTAGAATAGTCACGTACGGTCTTGTGTCATGCATGGGAAAATGCGAGTGGCTAATGTCTGATATATATCAGCTGGAGTGGCTGTGGTGAGTGACAGTGTTTAATTAAGGTCTTCACAGGGCAACTTAATTAAGAGAAGAGATGGCTGTGATGCGTTTTCTAAGCATCTCTATCCCAATAAAGCGATAGAGGAGAATAAAACAGATTTTCCTTCTCTAATCGGGAACTAACCGAACCCCAAAATATTTAGTGCAGAAAATTTTTACTCCCCGGAAATCGCGACTCTTAAATATACTCGATCGACCGCTGACGGAGTAAAAAAAAATTCCACCCACACTTTGCCTCCTCTTTCATCCCACAACCTCCTAAGCCACACCAGTGCTCTCCCACCCTAGCCTTCGGGCAGTCCGGCGCCAGCCCCACTGCCGATAATGGCCGGATCTAAGCCATCACCTCTCCTCGTTGCCCATCCCAGCACGGATCCACACTGCCATGAGAGGTCCCGAACCCGTGGTTGCGATGCCGCATCAGCCTCCCGCATCGATGCTTCTTCCTCTCCCCGCGTCGGTGGTTCCCACTTGCCCGGTTTCCCCGACCTCCCACCGCCACCACCGCCGGTCACAGAGGCAATAC